AAATAATCGACTTACATTTGGAAAAAACGATTAAATAAATATTTAAACATTTGACTATATGATATGAGGACCTGATAGTAACCATTGATAAACCATTGGGAGTAAATGTGGGATAAGTGACTGAGGAGCAAAAACGGGTTAAAATGATTTTGTAATTTATGGATAAATTTATTATAATTAATGATCAAAACATATTAATTATAATAAAATAATTATTTCTTTACTATTTAAAATATGTTTTGATCATTAATTATAATTAATTTATCCATAAATTATAAAATCATTTTAACCCGTTTTTACTCTCAAGTCACTTATCCCACTTTTGTTCCAAAAGTTTTTTAAAACCACTTTTATTATCAGCCCCTCATATTAGTTCCACCTATTATAGTTTCTTGATATTAATATTAAAAAAAAGTCGCTATAGCGCATATCATACGATTTTTGTTTTTTGCAAAATTGACAAAATGGTGGCCATTTTTCGAAAAACATGTAAAAAAATGTTTTTTTTCACCATTTTGGGCTATAAAAACATTTTTAAAATCAAAATTTTTAAAATCCCTTGATATGCGCTATAGCTATGAACCTCCTGAATCTAAAACCGTTTTAATTTTTTGTTTTTGAACATCCATGCCAAAAATTTCATCAACGTAACACTTTTTTGAAAATTTTTCAATAATTATTTTTAAATAAAAAAAAATATATTTAAAAAAATTGAAATAGTTTTTTTCTTACATTTCGAGGATGTATTTATTTATGTGCAAAACCTCAAATGTAATTATTTACAATTTAAACTTGAAAAAAATTTATCAAAAATAGCCTTTTTTATAGCATCTAAAGTGGGTAGCCATGCTGGCACAAATAAATTCGGTATTGTTTATGCATTAATTGTCTGCCTTCCTCCACAATTAGTTTCATATTTAAATGTTACTCTTTTTTAAGTCTTATCTATTTATCTAATTAGATTAAATGTGGAAATGATAAGACATTTAATCATTTAATTGAAAAGTTGAATTTTCGTAGTAAAGAAGGGATTTTAGTAAACATAAATGATACTAAAATTTGAGTAAAATTCCACTTAGTATTGATCTTAGGGGACAATTTGGGTTTAAACGGTATATTAGGTTTTACAGTATCATTTATTACAGATTATTTTTGCAGAATGTGCAAAATAAGCTTGAATGAACCCAGGGAGATATATGTACATGGAACACAAATCCAAAATGTTGGCATTAGAAATGCTAAATTTTGTCAGATATTTTGGAATAATTTTGGAAAACTTAGTGCCTGTAAATGAACATCATTGGATTCTGTACGGGTATCAACGTCAAATTTTGTATATTTTACTTTCTCTACGAGTACTTAAAAACAGATGCCAAAATGTTGAACACTCTTATCTGAATAATAAATCGCCTTTATCAGACGTATTATGGAGATCTCAAGCCAAAATTTCATTTCTTGGTTCTTGGAATATAAGTTCAAGCGAAAGATTTCACAATTTAAAAATAATTTTTTTGATAGCTGCCACTTTCACAAGATATTTTTGCAATTTTACAGATTATTATATAATAATAGTAATACTATAATATGTATAATAATTTTATGACAATTGTAGAGTCATCTGATCTGGCTAAGAATTTAAAATAATTATCATTATTAATTATTATTTAATTTTATCCGCAGGGAACACTATGGGTTTCTCGAAAACCATGTTGTTTACCGAAAGCTTTTTTACCATATTTTTTATATTTAATAAGAATTTTAATGCGTTCAATATTTCCAGTGATTGAATTATTTTTAAGAAAAATTCAGGGACTGTTGCTGAAACGAAACTAAATTAACAAAATTAATTTAGATCAGTGTTGACTCTAAACTGAAGTCTGAAAAGCTTAAGGGATCATTCACAAATTACGTCACGCGAATTTTGACTTTTCTTTAGCCCCGCCTCCCCCATGTCACATGCCATCACAAAAAAATTAACCCCCTCAATGTGACATCACATACTCTAACCCCCCCCCCCCCCAAGAAAATATTAAAAAACAAATTTGTTATTAATAGTGATAAATTTTCATTTATTTGTATTATAAATTGTTTTTATAAAAATTAACATTTAACCCGGCGAGTATGTGGTTGGGCATGTCATGCCCCACATTTACTTAAATCCTTTTAAATCCTAAAATTTCCACTGTAACGTTTTGAAACTTCGAGTAGCTGAAGTTATGGGTTCATAAGAGAAGATGATGGTATGGTGATAGTGTTATGTAAATTATATTTTAAATTACTTGGACGTAAACGTCAATTTTGTATATTTTTGGCGAATTTCTTTTTCCTAATTTCTACTAAATTAATGATAACTGAATTGAGATATATTCTAAAAAGCAGTATTATGCTCCTCATTCACTAATATTTAAAGTCCTGCCTTTATAAAAGTGCAAATTTGATTTTATAAAAGTTTTAAGTTTTCATTGTTTTATTTAATCATATGATAAATCTTATGACAAAGAGTTGATTTTATCTTTATAAATAAATAAATAATTAAGGAAATATATTTTATTACATGCCTTTTTATAATATAATACCAGAAATTAACTTAATATAGCTATATGTAACATTTATAAGCAATTTTACATTTTGGGCATGTCATGCCCACCACATAGTCGGTGTAACAGTTTCCCCCCACATACTCGCTGGGTTAAGAATAGACTAGTTGTGAGTGTGCCATTATTTTTCTGGAAAAAAGTGCGTAAATATGAAAACAAAAAATTATATAATAAAGCAATCTTGTGATGTCACATTAAAGCAAAAACCCCCACCCCCCTACATCACAAAACATCACACTTTCAACAGACCCCTCCCCCCTAAGGGTGTGACGTAATATATGAACGATCCCTAAACATTTAATGTCAGCCGAAAAATAACTACAAAAAACGATATATTTAAGGGGAGACCCCACCTTTATTGTAACCATTTAAAATTAAATTATTAAACGAGATATTATTTTTTTCATCATTCTTAAGCTAAAAATATATGAGATGGTCAAAAATATTTCATTTCAATGTTTTAAGAGGTTAGAATTATTTTCTTTTAGCCTATTGCACATTATTGCAAATCCATGCGAAAAGTTCTTTAGAATTGGCAGAATGGCATATAAATAGGGATATTTATTTAGAGTGATAATACACTTCGGTAGTCAAAGTTTTAACGCTCTAAATATTTTCGTTCAAAAATTAATACAATTTAACAGTTTTGTCAGCTTAACTTTTAACCCCAGTCTCCCTACTCGGAAATCGGGTTTACATTTTCTACTTCATTATTTTATTGAAGTCTTACATTTATAGTATAAAGACTTCAATATATTTTTCTTGTTGTTTGGTGTGAGTTTTTTATTTAAATTAGGTAAGTCACTTTCTTACACATTTATTTTGGATCTAGATTGAAATAAATCCAGGTTTGTATTATTAAATTAATTTTTTTAAATTTAGTTTCGAGTCGACACGAATCTAAATTCAATTTATTAATTCAGTTTTCAGTTGACATGAAACAAAATTCACTTTTATTAGTTTAGTTTGTTAATTTAGTTTCCTTTCAACTCAAAAACTAAACCGAAACTAAATTTTTATAACGGTCCTTGAAAAAATTCTTTAATTTGATTACAAAAGTTATTTGTGCAACAATGGCGCATTTGTAAGGGAATCGAGACTTGTATGCAGTTTAGGTTATGGAACGCCTATTAGTTACAAAACGCAACACACCCTATTGAAAATTCCTGTGAAGGAACACATACAGGTTCCTATGCCAAGTTCCTTCGCAGGATCTCTCGTAAGTTCCTGAACATTTTTAAATCAATTTTTGCAACAATACATTTTTTTTTGAACAATTTTTAATCTTATAGAAGTTATCATTGTTGTAAACAATTATATGAGCAATATTAAAGTTTCTTTTGATTATTATTGTTCATGTAATTGTTAATAACAATGATAATTGTTAACTCTAGAATTATTTTTACCAAAATTATAGTAAGTTACAGAAATAAACATAAATTTAAATTTGTTTGAAAAAAAGAAAAAATTTTCATGAAGAGTACTAAAGTACTCTTTGTAAGTACAAAAGTACTTTTTGTTAATTAACATTGTTTATAACAATTTAAATAAATTGCATTATACACTAATACCTGTTGTGTAGTAATTGATTTTAATTTGATTTTGATCATGAGTAATGCAAAAAAATGATTTTTTCCAAAAATATTCTAATTTCTCAACATGTAATAAAAAAAAAATTATAAACAATGAAAATTTTAGAATCGGCTTCTAGGAATGTTTTAAGAATTTTATTCCCTTTAATTTAAGAACAAGAACATTAAAATCCGTTAATTTTTGTAGGCTCTAGACTATTTGGATAATAAATTCTAAAAAAAATTATTTGCACGGGCAGCTTTAATTATTTATTTAAACATATCAAACTTGTCCGGCCAACTCTGAAATTTTTGGCAAAACCTTCTTAGCATTTAAAGTATGTTTTTATAAAAAAAATAATAAATTTGTCATACCAAAACTGAAAAAAAATTAATTTGTTCATAAATTTCTTTATGTTTTGAATAAAAAATGGAAAAAAATTTTTGTTATTATTATTTAAAATTAGAGACAGAAACAAAACTTTTTTCTTATGAAAAAATGAAAAGAAGCAATATTTTTTTACTTATTTGAGATTGAAAACATATCTACATTTAAAATACGAAAATTTTGAAAAATCATAACTCTAAAATTTGGCCTCCAAAGAAAATAAAAAAATACGTTTCTGTTTTTTTCCAATACAGAATAAAAAAAAAATTTTTGGTCGATTTTAAGAGGTCGACTGAAATCTCACGTAGAATTGCCCATATAGAAATGTATAAGATTAAAAATTCTTCAAAAACAAATTTATTGTTGCAACTGAGTCTTTCATTCAGATATTTTCATAATGGCAGTATCAAAGAGGAATTTATAACTTTTTGCAATGCGTACGAGATGCTTCGTTACAAAAAGGGAGATGTCGTGATATCAGATAGTGAACAAGAGCGTCGATTGACTAGCGAAGCTTTAGCCACAATTGTAACAGACCTATGCTACAAATTTAATATAGATTTAAATTGGTGTGTAGGAATTTGTACTGACAGTTGTGCGGTCATGGCATCTGAAATAAAAGGAGCAGTTCACGAATTGCGAAAAAAAGCTAAACATGCTAAACGTTCGCCATGTAATAATCACGTTTTAAACAATTCTTTGGGTAATTCCGTAAAAGTCGTCTCGTGCCGTAATACTTCTGCTACGATGAGAAAAGTTGTTGCTTTTGCAAATGCTTCGGCTAAACGTCATGAAGTATTTATTGAGGAAGTAGGCAATGCAATGAAGGGTATTTGCGAAACTCGTTGGGTTGAAAGACATGATGGGCACTTGCAATTTCAAGGCGACAATTTAGTAAAAATTTGTAACGCCCTGCAACGAATTACAGTGTGGAATGACAGAAAAACTTCTAGTGATGCTCATTGTCTACTGCAAGCTCTACGAAGTTGTGATTTTATTATATCATCTGTCAGTTTAAATGATATTTTAGGTAAACTATATATTTTATATATAATATTTATTTTTTTATATTGAAATTTTTTAACTGTTTGTTTAACAGTAACTATGTTTCATTTTTAGGGACAACTGTATCACTCAGTCGTTTACTCCAGACAGCTTTAGTAGATTTGAAAACTGCTATGGATGCAATAACAGATACAATAAGTATACTACAGCAAAAAAGAGAAAATGCTGCAGTCGTTTTCCAACAATTGTTTTCTGAAGCTAAAGAAATTGCTGAACAGTTGGACGTAGAGCTGAGATCTCCTCGCATAACTGCAAGACAAATACATCGGCCTAATAATCTACCAGCACAATCTGCTGAAGAATATTACCGCAGGTCTATATACATACCCCTTTTGGACCACATCATAAATGATCTACAAGAAAGACTTTCTCCTGAAGTGCTAGATCTATTTAACTTAAATGTATTTTTGCCAAAATCAACCTATAATGAGAATGATATAGATATTGTACGTAAGGTCACTAGGTTTTATAATGAGCTTTTAGATCGAGTTCATGAATCTACCGTAGTTCAGGAATATAAACTTTGGGTAACTAAGTGGCAAAGAGAATTGGAAAATGGAAGTAAAATTCCTCAAACGGTACCCCAAATAATTTCAACCCAAAACCCCAAATTTCAACATTACGTCGACTGAAAACATATCTTCGGACATCTATGGGAGAAGAGCGTCTGACTGGATTAGCACTATTGAATATCCACCACCAGATTGTATTTTGATGAAAATGAAGTCATCGATCGATTTGCAAGAAAAAAAAGGAAACTAGATTTCATCATATAATTTTTATGACAATCTTATTAAAGATAATAATATTCTTAATAATAAAAATAAATGTAATTAAATTAAATTTAATTAATTAATTATTAATTAATTATATTGATTAAATTAATTAAATTAAATTGAATGTTATTTTTGTTACTAAGAAAGTGATAAATTATATTATACCATATTATATTTTTCATATATATATATTTTTTTTTTCATGACCCCCCCCTGGAATGAAGGCTGGATCCGCCACTGTTTCCAGAGGTTCAGAGAAACCAGCAATTTTGACGTATGTAAGAACTCCATTTTATGTACAAAAAATAGACGCGAGTAATGATAAAAAATCGTTTTACGAAATCACGATAAATGACGCGAAAGATATAGGTAAACACTGTCAGAACAGAAGCAGACGCGTGCGCATTATGGAAATAGGCAAAATTACTAAAATCCTAGTCAATTTGACTAGGATTTGCAGGGTTGTTTTTGCCAGGCTTGAATTTGTGGAATCAACCTAGCGATCCTAACCATAATGATTAGGAATCTTTATTACTTTTACTACACTGAGAGAAGAAACGCACAGATTCTGAAATGGAGAAGTTCAGCATCTGTACACCAAGTTGAGCGCAGCAGCAATGCACTGTGCGACAAATGCCGTACTATTCGCACCGCCGCCGTGCTTTAGAGTACGGTATACGTACTTCAGAGTACAGTATACGTACTATGAACGACACCAACTGAATAAACCTTAAGAACGGGCGCTGACACCCATTTTACATGGCCGGTGTTTGTCACAGTACAGATTTTGTGCGTTTCTTCTCTCAGTGTAGATTAAGATTAACTATAGGGTCATAGTTAATAATACCATCGAGATTTTTTTCAGTGTACGAAGAAAAATTTTATAGGTTGTGCTTGTTATGTTTTTAGTAAAAATTCTTTACCTCTCAATTTAAACTAATTAAGAAAATCTTTTATTTCCTTCAAAATATTCAATAAAAATTGTTTTTTATATCACAAATTAAAATTGTACTGGGAAAAATTAACCTGCAAAAGGATTGCTTTAGGTTGTATTTATGGCCTAACCGTCATTAAGTTGAAGGACGAATATTTCTCTTTCACACGAAGAGAAGTGTATTTTTTAAATTGTAAACTTTTTAAGTCATAAAATTATAATCTCATACAACAATAAGCCTTCGGGTCTATTGTTAAAGCAAGGGTAGCAATATAATTTCAAAATTTAAGAGGAATCCTTAGTAGAAAAATAATTAATTTTTCTTGCTGGGTTTAGATGGTGACGGTCGTGATTGGTTGAAAATTTCATGATGACGGTCGCGATTGGTTGAAATACAATGATGACGGTCGCGATTGGTTGAAATGCCATGACAAGATGCGCGCGCAACGTGGAACATAGTAATTTTGATTTTTCAGTCAGTCATTTTGATTTTTCATCAAACACACAGCGTTGGTGAAAAAGTGTATATTTTGTGTAAGTCATTGTGTGAGTGAAGGAATTAAATTGATAAAATTAAATAAAAGGTGAGTTTTTATTGTTTATTATATTACATAACATAGGGTAAAAATACGGATAGATGCCCTCCCAGGTCAAAATATTAATTTTCTTGAAACTTTGCCAAAATGTTACTATTATTAATAGAAGTGTAGATATAAAATATTATTGAATTTAATAAAATATATGTGTTGAATTTTAGCAGCAACAAACATCGAGTGAGAAAGTTGTTTATTGCAGTCCAAAGAAGTTTTCTGGAAAGTTATATTACAATTGAATAATTAGTAACAAATTTGTGAATGTTTAAAGTTGCACGCGCGGCTGAACGTGTGACGCCCGTTTATTAAAAGAAGCTCGACTGAATATATCACAATGTTGTTTCGCCTTTAGAGGTTAAGTAAATCAAAACAAACCTTCCGTTCAGCCGCTCGCGCAACTTTAAACGTTCACTAAGGCTGTTTTCGGCAGTCACTCAGAGTTACTCCTGAGTTAACGATTATCCAATCATAAACATTCTGTTGGATCAACCAATCACTATTAACCCAGAGTTAACTCGGAGCGAGTGCCAAAAACAGCCTAATTTGTTACTAATTGTTCAATTGCAATATAACTTTCCAAAAAACTTCTTTGGACTGCAGTAAACAACTTTCTCACTGGAAGTTTGTTGCTGCTTAAAATTCGCCCGTTAAACGAAGCTCTTGAAAATTGCACTTCACGATTTTTGCAATTGTTTAGAAAAAAATTAATAACAATTTTATTTTTAATTAAAACAATTTTTTTCTTCTTTAATCATTCTCAGGATATTTCAACGAGTAATTTAGTTTTTGTGACATTGGAAAATATGCAAAATTTACTGAAATATCGCGAGTTGAAGTGAAAAATTTAATTAAATTTCATGGTTTCAAAAAAATGGTTTTTCTTTATTATTTCGAAAACGGTAATAGATAGAAAAAAAATTTATAAGAAAAAAATATGCGCAATCAAATTTTCTATAAGCATACACCGAAAAAAAAATATTCTTAATTTTAGAATATATACTAAAATAGGTGCCCAGGATATTCCCCACTCAAATTAAGTGGGAAATATTCTTACAATAAGAATATATCCTAATAGTAAGAATATATACCACTTAATTTGAGTGGGGAATATCCTGGGCACCTATTTTAGTATATATTCTAAAATTAAGAATATTTTTTTTTCGGTGTATGCATAATAAACAATTTAAATCAAAAGATTAATTTTAAGTGTCCAGGGGCCAACGTTTTTCAGCGCGGCGAGTTTATGTGCCCTTCTTTGATCCGGCAGCTCAATTGAAGGTGAAATTCTTAATTTCAATATATTTCTAAGGTTATTGACATATTACGTGATACATTTAGGGGTGGGAGGGGGTAGGCAAAGAATCACGCTGTAACAAATTTTCTATACTAAACTATAGAAAAAGTATCACGCAGGGGAGGAGAGGGGATCTAAAATACCTAAAATATCTATCACGTAATATGTGAATGACACCTAAATTAAATAATAACATTTTGCCAAAGTTTCGGGAAAATTCAACAACATAGATTTTTTGACCTGGGCAGTTGAGGAATTTTGCTCCATATACATCTGTTTAATTACACTCACAAAACAGTCTATTTAAGTAAAAAAGATATTAAACGCAGGTAAAATATATAAACAAAAACTAAATTTCTTTCATCATAATTTTCATATATAATTTTTTAACAATTTTTTCAATTTGGAAAAGTTGTGACTTAGATTCTACATTTTTTAATAAATTAAATTACAGTTTTCGAATATATAAATAATTATTATAATTAATAATAAATAAATTAATAATAATAATTATAATTAATTAATTTTTTTTAATATAATCGAATATTGTTAATATTTGATTTAAATTTCGTACATTGTTTATTTTATCAAAATTATTTAAGGAGGGAGTAAGGTCTAACGGGTGAAAAAAGTATTTTTTTTTGTGAATTTTTATGGAAGAAACGGTAAAAGTTTATATGTTAATTTTTTTTGCATATTGTTATTTTCTATTTGAAGAGGACATTGTAAAATTTTTGTTTGAAAATATTAAGAATTATGCCGCTGGCAAAGCATTTTCGAAGACGCTTTCTAAAAAACATGATTTGCGGTGAACATCATAATTAATTAACACATTATCGGAAGTCAAAAATTGAAGTGGATTTGGTTAGAAGAATAATTTTGCCCGACCCCAACGATTTTCTTTTGTTTACATTTAAATTTTTTTAATTTTTAGCGACTAATAAAGCAAAAAACGCTATTTTCACTGAAAAAATCTGCCATTCTGTGGCTGTATCTTGGAAAAAATTAATCAAAAGCAAAACGTTGGGGTTTGATTAAGATTTAGAGTGTAAATTTTTTTATTTACTTCGACTTTTTTTAATGATTTAAATAAATATTGACCCTGTGTTATAAAAATGTGTGAATAGAGATGTCGACCACAGCGACTAAGAAAAGAATCCTGCTTCTTAACCTAATCAACCATTATTGGTGTTCAAAACGTCCCATTACTGGGCCAATGATGGCGCCGATGGTCAGAATTTCTAATTTTTTAAGACTAGGCCAGCTCTCGGCCCAATAATGGCACATTCATGGCAAAGTTGATCAATCTTTAATGGCAAAAAGCAATTGCCAGTGATGTGCCGACCATCGGCCCAGTAATGGCTCATTATTGGCACTTTAATGGCAAAAAATTTGTATCGTTCATGGCAAATTATAATTATCAGTATTGGGGAGAAGCTTGGCTCAATAACGGCACAATATTGGCAAAGATGATCAATCTTTAATGGCAAAATTCAATTGCCAGTGATGTCACGAAGATCGGCCCATTAATGGCACTTTAATGGCAAACATTTTGTATCTTTGATGACAAATTATAATTGCCAGTATTGGGGCGTAGCTTGGCCCAATAAAGGCACATTCACGGCAAAGTTGATCAATCTTTAATGTCAAAAGACAATTGACAGTGATGTGGCGAAGATCAACCCATTAATGACTCATTAGTGGCACTTTAATGGCAAAAATTTTGTATCTTTAAAGGCAAATTATAATTGCCAGTATGAGGGCGTAGCTTGGACCAATAACGGCACGTTATTATCAAAGTTGATCAATCTTTAATGGGAAAATTCAATTGCCAGTGATGTGACGAAGATCGGCCCATTAAAGGTACATTTATGGCATTTTAATTTGGTAAAATTTTTTATAAGAATTTAAATTTAAGAAACATTCAGTTATTCAATAAATTATTTATTTTGTATTTAAATAATTGAATAACCTTGAAAAGGATTCATATTAAAATATTCGAAATTTTGAATTTTTTTATTTTTAACTGTCAATTTTAAAGAATTATAATTTTTTTGAAAAAGTTTAATTAAGTATTAATTTAAAAAAGAAGTTATTAATGTTTTCAAATAATTTTACAATTAAAGAAATTCGTAAATAAATGTAACAGAAAACTTTTTTTGAGTACAATTTTCCCTTTATTATCTAAAAATTAAGAAAATTTCAATTTATTCAATAAATTATTTATTTTTTCATTTAAATAATAATTAAATTCTCGTAGAATTTTCTAGTAAACATTGATTTCAAAATGGATTCTAGTCAAATTTTTAGATAATAATTCAATATTAAAAACATAGCATGAATTTTGATATTAAAATTTTTTTAAATTCAATTGCCAATGATGTGACGAAGATCGGCTCATTAATGGCTCATTATTGGCACTTTAATGGCAAAAAATTTGTATCTTTCATGGCAAATTATAATTGCCTGTATTGGGACGTGGCTTGGCTCAATAACGGCACAATATTGGTAAAGTTGGTCAATTTTTAATGGCAAAATTCAATTGCCAGTGATGTGACGAAGATCGGTCCATTAATGGCTGATTAGTGGCACTGTAATGGCAAAAATTTTGTATCTTTGATGGCAAAATATAATTGCCAGAATTGTGGTGTAGCTTGGCCCAGGAATAGCACATTAATGTCTATCATTTTGTATCTATGATGGCAAATTATAATTGCCAATATTGGGACGTAGCTCGGCCCAATAATGGGACAGTATCGGCCAATGTAGTGTAGCTTATAAGAACCCTTTTGCTTTCTTGACTTCAAGTCAGAGTAGCAGAGTGGTCAGAGTGTTAGGCTGTGGTGCGTCAGGTTCAGGTATCGATCCCCGCGAGAGGTAAGAATTTTTCAAATATTTGTAAGTTTGCGTTTAATTTAGGGAAATAAGCCGTATAAATGTTATAAATTAATTAGTTAATTGAATAAAAAAAATTTATTTTTATTTTTTTCTAATTTTGTCAACACTGGGGGAGTAATGGCAGCCAATATTGGGCCATTAATGTCTGCCGAGATCTGGCTGCCGACGTCCAACCGCGGTTAACGTGAGTAATGGCAGCCAATATTGGGCCATTAATGTCTTCCGAGATCTGGCTGCCGACGTCCAACCGTGGTTAACACCACAAGAGTCGGCGCAAAGTCGGGCCAATATTGTCTGCCAAGTCTCGATTCCAGCTTTGCCAATACTGGGCCAGTGTTGGGCCGCGTTGGTTTTCGCACTTGGGATATTGATAAAAAATATCAAAATATTCAACAAACACTTCCAGGGAGTATTGGCTCGTTTTTCCACTAAGAAAAACCTAATATTTTTAAAAATTTTAATAAAATAATCTTGTTAAGTTTAATTTCTTATAATTTATTCATGAATAAGTACAAATGAGGCTCCGGATCTTAAAAGGGCACACGCGTGAACACTGAACACACGGCCAGTCAGTTGGGTCCTGGAGATAAAATTTTGAAGTTGTTCAAAATGAATTTAAAATTATTGTTTCTTGTTCAGAATTTCAAGGCGAAACTTTTTTTCTAATAAAATTTTTTTATATAATTTTTTGTTTTTAAGAAAATTGAGAAAAAGGTGATTTTTTAACCTAAGAAATTTTATTGAATTTTTGACTTCAACTCGTGATTACTTCGTTAAATATTAATATTTTTCCACGAAATTTACACACAATATTCTTCAAACTATTCCAAAAGTGAAACAATATTTAGTAATTTTTAAAAAATTCTATGTCTAAGTAAATAATTATTTAAATAATTTTGCCGGAAAAATGATTCTCCTTTTTTCAATTGAAAAAGTTGAGTTACATACATTGGTCTTGTAATGGCGGCCATTCCACACGTGCGCAGCCACGCAGTAATTTTACAGCAGAGCGCGACGCTGTTAAAATTGCTCTATTTTCTTTAATTA